GGGAGAGTCAGACTGTCTCCAGACTGCAGGGTGAGGACTTCTGATCGAGCTGAAATTCAAGGAAAGGAGCAGAGTGAAAGAATGATGCAGACAGCAATTCATCAGCTGTAAAGACTGCACTCACTCAGAGGAGACAGTATTGATCACATTTAAGTCTTGAGATTGAAGATAGTTTCAGAACAGCAACACTTGTTTAGAGTTTTGTTTAATTTAAAATATTAAATTACTATAATTGCAACTTTAAATATCAGTAATCAATACCTAATCACATTTAGTTCCTCCTATTGACCCCACACATGAGGGACTGACACTGGTGAAAGAGTCACACTGGAGCCCCACTCTCACCTCCCACAGTGACGTGGACAGTGCTGATGGGGGTCCCCTGGGAGTCCTGCACTGTGTAAGTGCCCCCGTCTTCAGCTCTCACACTGGAGATCTTCAGCACCTGGTCTTGAACCTTCAGCCTGCTGGAGTCTGGGGTCACAGTGCTGTCGAGCACAGAGCACAGCCTGCGAGACTCTCCCCCCTCAGGCCTGAACCACAGCTCTACAGCCTGCTGTGTGCGCAGAGGGACACTGAGGGGGTCTCCACAGGAGAGACTGATGTTGTCCTCGTGTCCTACAGGAAGACATTGACAAGGGAGCGGTCAGCAACACCAGTCAAGTCACATGGTCTTCTCCCAGAATTCCCTGTCTGGTCTGAAGAGAGAATTCAGTCATATACCCCAACATCGTCTGAGTTGAGCCCTGGCTAAAATTCACCAGGGGTCCTGATCTGGGGTTTGGGATGAAGGAGAACGAAGAAAAATGATAAACAGAAGATGCTGGTGCACCCTAGAGAACTGAGAGAGAAAACAGCTGTAGGTCAGGTTAGTCGACACGAGTCAGGAATCACTACACTGTAAACACCCGCTTCCCTCAAACTGCTCGGATCACAAGGGAGAGAAAGGAGATTACCTAGAACTGTGAGCTTCGCATCTCCAAGGAATTTCCTGTTGCTCTTGTCATCCACAAATCGACACTTGTAGATATCTTGATCCGAGAACGTCACGTTATGAAGGATCAGGGAGAAATCTCCATCTCTGATCCTCTCTCTGGACAGCTCAGCTCTGTTATCGAACCCTGGGCCAGTGCGGTTCAGCCCTCTGTTGAACTCCACCACACGGCGGTCAGAGGTCTCCCACAGTATAATCTTCTTCTCCTCAGGAGTGAGTCTGTAGGAGCTCCCATCACAGGGCAGAGCGACAGTGTCCCCATAGAGCCCAGACACAGGGAGGAGAGCAGAGCACACTGGGAGACAGAGGACAGAGACAGAGAGACACTTCAGCTCCCTTAAAACACACAACAGTGAAACACAGCTCTCTGGAGGTGACTGTACCTGCTTGTGGACAGCATTTCTTCACAGGCGAGCGAACGACAACTCTGATCTCTTACCTTGAGAGCAAAACACCGTCAGGACAACACCCAGGACCGTCATGATGAGGGACCTGCAGTAAGATTGCAATATGAGTGAGGCAATTAAAGCTGAAAAGAAAACCAGTGCCCCAGGTGGTTTAAATTATCAGTTAGGAAAAGAGAGAGAAAGCTCTTTGTAAAATGATGAAAAGACACCAGGATCCAGCAAAAAGGAGCAAAGTGAATTGAACACATAAAATGTACAATGTTGTAATAATTTTCAATATGTTCTTTCACACTAGAACAGCATGATAAACGTGCACATTTCTCCCCATTTCCCATTTTCACTTACAGTGCCTTGGACAAGTATCCAAACCCCTTAAAAGTTTACTAATGTAAACGAGCTCTTACTATCTGTTAATGCCAGTGAGACAATCTGGAGTACCAGATAGACTTCACGCAGTGATCTCACCCAGAACACTGCACTGATACGACAGTTTCACGGAATAATTTTTTCTGCCTAAACTTGGTCATGAAGCACTTCTAAACTTCCTCTGCTTTGATGGAAGACAAATTTCTCTTTCAGTTCCTCTTGGATCTCTTCCCTGCTCGTAACAGCGTAAAATAAGTTTAATGCTGGTACAGCTGGGCCCCAGCTACGGCAGGTCAAGACGACCACGAACAATTGTGGGCTTTTTATTTTGCAACTGTGTGCAAAACGATGGGAACTTCCTTTGCTAAAATGTCACCCCGAACAGCCGTCAACTCGCCTTCTTGAGCCGAAGGACACCAGGTAAAACCACCAGGTGTAGCAGCAGCTCTCCAAAACTGACAGCCAGTTATGTTAACCTGAAACATGTCCCTCTATAGGGCTATATAGAGAAGTACATCTCGGCCTTTCGGCTAAGATCAAGTTCACGTGGCATGCCTGCAGTTCTGGTCTTTCCAAAGGTCTAGAAGGCTATCGAAGATCCTGAAGAGTGCTCGAGCTGGTATCGCTCTAGGTTCAGCCTAGGGGCCTAAATACAACTACAGAGTTAAATTAGAGTCATATTACCACGGCTGCAACGCACGGACCATGTGGAGTGGTATACGCACCATTACAGACTACAAAACGCAACCCAGCTATATCGCACAACTGTCTGCCTGTCTTTCTGATGAGCTAAATTCATTCTATGCTCAGTTTGAGGTCAGCAATGCAGATCCTGCCAGGAAGATTCCAGAAATCCAAAACTAAAGGTAGGGCTGGACCTGTCCAGCATCTTTAATTTTCAGTCCCCAGCGAGACCTGGAGGGAGCCCAGCATATTCCCCCCAGGACCCGAACGAGAGGAGTTACATCTAGGCTAAACAGTGCCCAGATGTAGACTCCCAAGTTTCTACTGTAAGTACAGAGAGGAGGTTTAACTTTCACTTGTTTAATCATGACAGTGAAACCTTTCTAACAACTA